AATTTTATAAAGAATATCTCTTTGGATTTGAGACTTTAGTCTTTGCAACTTTACAGATCTTCTTTATGCACCAAGAGCCTGTAACACTCCAACGAGAAAGATAAAATTGAAATCGCATCATATGACCCCTTTAAAGCATTTTTTGCTAATTCATCAGCAGATTCATTACCAGCTATTCCCACATGTGCTGGCACCCAGCAGAATCCAACTACCACTCCTTTTCTTTGTATACGCCATAATAATGTAAATATTTCACACATCAAATCTTCTCTAGAAGATTGCCGAGTAATCAATGATGTTAAAACAGAAGCAGAGTCAGAGCATACCACTACTCTGTCTGGTCTTACTTCCTCTACCCATGTTAGTCCTATTATGATAGCAACCATTTCAACAGTATATATTGACAATTTAGATGTTAATCTTTTAGTTATCTTTTAGTCAGATATTTTAAAATCTGGAATATATGTTCCTACTCCTGTAAGCCCTGTTTTGGGGTCTTTAGATCCATCAGTATAAATGTGCATACTTGCATAAAATCTTTCCTGTATATACTTATTTACATTATATTTAATACTACCCATTTCCTCCCATTCTCTTTTCTTATCCAATATCTCTAGATCAATTTTAACATCAGGAATTATCCATGTTGGTACCTCTCCCCATACAGTGTATTCCACCAAATTACTTATATTCATATTTTTTCCTAAGTTGATTAAATGCCTTATTTCTTTCATTGCTTTACTGCACTCTTCTTTCCACCATCTAGTCAAATAAAGTATTGTCTTTTGTTGTTATGGGCGCGTCTACAGATTTCTTGCCATATGTCTATGTTTCTTGCATCTCATCCTCTCCCTTTGTTATTTGAGTATTCCCAGCAATTATTTAAAATATCTTTAGCTATATGTTTTCCAGAATAACTCTTTAAAGACAACCAATATACCAAAGACAATTGAACTCTCCTCAAGCTCAATGGCATTTCATTTGCCTCTACTAATAACGCATTGATTGGTGTTGTTTTAGTTGCTCCTAAGCATATTCTAAGAGCTCTATACTGTATCCTATCTAGACTCCTTAATAATGTTTCTGATGCTGAACCATAAATCATGCATCCGTAATCTATTATAGATCTTATCAAAGCTTGATATATTGTTAACATTGATTCTTTTTCAGCACCCCATTCTTTTCCAGCTATTGCCCTCATCGCATTTAAAATCCTCCTGCATTTTTTATCTATTTCCTCATGTTTAAACATGTTTTTTCCAGGTATATCTCCCATCTAACCAAATTCCTAGATACTTAAAAACCTTTACTTGTTCTAAAGGTTTTCCATACAATAGTAGTTCAATATCTTTAGAAACTTATTTTTTCCTACTGACCAACATATAACATGATTTATTTGTTGACATTTTAAAACTCCATTCTATACTCCATTTTTCCACCTTTTTAATAGCTGTTTGCATACTTGAATCATTTAGCAAGTATTGTGAAACATAGGAGGATATAGTAGAAGATTCAGTAGAAACATTTTGCAACTCTATTGCGAATTTAATAATGGAAGCTGCAACAAAATATATACCACAAAGAATTGCAGGACAGAAAAATTAAAATATTCATTATATGTTTCACAATACTTGCTAAATGAATTCCAATCTGCTTTCTCATACATCCATTTTCTTTGCAGAAAACACCCTGTATTACTACTATTTACATTTATTTTACATACAATTGGAAAATGATCACTTCCAACTGTATTCTCACTGCTTACTTTCCATTCACATATTTCAGCCATTCCATTTGATATTAATGTTAAATCTATACTTGATACCGTATTCTCTGTTATATTAAACCTAGTACCTTCTCCTGTGTTTAAGCATACTAATCCTCTATCATCCATAAAT